TTTAGTCAAGCAAGCTCGCCAATGCCCACAGCTTTATCATGGACACAAGCGACGGGTACAACACGAATGTCGGCGAGAAAGGAAGCCAAATGTCAGGTGAGCTACAAGTCGAGGAGCGGTCCGTATGCCCCCATGCCGCCCCTACAAGTTTTACCTTCGCCCACTTACCTTTACCTTTCGAAAAAAGAACCTTGGGCACGGTCACTACCAACTTCGGCCAAAACAGAAGAACTTTTCCGAAAATTCAGAAATTTTGCAAAATTCAGTGAAAGTTTCTTAGAAAGTCTAACTTTCTCCCGAAACTCCAGAACCTTAATCTTTTTCGCAAGTCTCTCTTTCGAGCCGCCAAACACAAGTCTCTGCGGGCACAAAACTCGCACAAATCTCGACTGGAGCCTTTCTATGGAGCTACCAGCCACTGCACCCATCATCCCAACCCGATGACGACGAGACTTCCTCTTTAATCTGCAAATATTTTGTGAATGAATCAATTGCCATTAGGTGGACAGAAACAACGTATTGCTATTGCTCGAGCGCTGGTACGAGACCCAGTGGTTTTGCTGCTCGATGAGGCCACATCCGCTCTTGATTCGGAAAGTGAGCATTTGGTAAGTCACATCCCTACATACCATCAGTTCTCCTAAGGTCTTTATAGACCCGAGAACCTCGCGAAGCAATAGTTTCTTTGCAGGTACAAGAGGCGATCTCGAAGAATCTCAAAGGTCGCACGGTGGTTCTGATCGCCCATCGCCTTAGCACAGTTGAGAACGCGGACAAGATCGTCGTAATCAATAATGTAACTTGAACTCGGATCAGAAATTTTGAAATGTTAGGCACCTCCGATAAGATTATAAGGATCTTTTAGGGTCGAGTTGAGCAGATGGGAACACATAAAGAGCTCATCAATCAAGAGGGCATGTACAAATTGCTCGTGCAGCGACAAATGATGGGTGAGTAGTGACTTTTCATCCTACTCACAATTCAGCAACTGTTTATGCTCAGGAGGCGACATGGACGAGGAAGAACCGGTAACTCCAGTGCCAGCCTCAGCTGTACCACCAAGAACTCGTCGCATTTCCCGAGTCTCGCCTGGACATAGCGTTTCGCAGTCCTTCCTTGGTACTTCATTCACCAGCAACTATTTATAGACAACAATTATTTAAACAACTATCGCATAGATCCAATAGAAATCTGTTGTTATGTTACTGCCATGCAATCTCTGTTGATTTTTCGATGAAATTTTTGACATTTATCAAAAATATGGTAAGATCTGTAAGATTTGCAGTGCTGCGCTCGCACTAATGTACCCTCTTTCGGAGAACGAGAGAGCGCCGGTATGTCGATCACACACCACAAATTACGACGGCCAAGGAAAAGAATAGTATCACCTGTATCACCTGTCGTCCCGTTGATCATCGAATTGCTCGAGCGGGCGCCAGCAACGTCTCCATTCGTCCCCTGTCGCGTGCAAGAGTTGTCCAGTGGACCCTCCTCGCTCGAGGGACACGATGTCCTTCATTCCTTTCGTTCAGAGCTTTCGTGAAGAAGTCTGACCATCGGGCCGGCGGCTCTCAACACGCATCGAAAAGTGGAATCTTGCGCGGGAGGAGACGATGGTCCGATCCCGTGTAGAACTTTGGAACAACAGCGACGTCGGTCAGGCAAAACCTTCGATTGAAGATGATGTGGTCTATCTCGTTATGGAACTGTCCATCAGGTGACTCCCAAGTCCAACGAAGGTGAGAGGGCTTCTGGAACTGCGAGTTACCATGGATGGTGTTGGTCGACATGATAAACTCAGACAGTCTTTCGCCCTGCTCATTCCAATCCATTCCGTGAGTACCGATGTGAAGTTCTTCAGCCGTTCTTCTCGGGCCAATCTTGGCGTTGAAGTCGCCGACGATGACCTTGAAGAAGGTATGATCTTCCTTGTAGAACTTCTCCAATTCCATATAAAATGCTTCGTGTTCCTCCTCGTCGTAGCTCGATGTTGGTGCGTAGGCGACGAAGATTGTCAAAGCAGGAGTTGAACCACATCTTCTCAATCTCAAACGTCCGATTCGGGTCGTAAGGCTTTCGTACGAATCGATGTTTATGGCCAAGTGCGTGTTGACGAGGACACCCACACCGCCAACGCCTCTGCTGTCGCATGTTCCAAGGAACAGTTCTTCTCCAGTATCGAAAACGGCGTGTAGCGGGCGGTGCCTTCTCGTCTCGGTCAGTCCGATGACGTCGTACTTGATCTTCCTGGCCTGCATCATCAGATCTTCGATGTGAGCTTCGGATGCAAGCGTTCGTGCGTTGAAAGTACAGATCGCCATCTTAGTCCTTCTTCGTTTAGGCAGCCTATCCGGGCCCTGAGATTCTAGCAGCCTCTCCCGAGCGGTCCTACCCAACGCTGCCGTATTGGGGGCTCCCTCAGGTTCAGGGGAATGAGGCCCATCCATATTGCTGTTTTCGGCATATTGAAGGCACACGAGTAGCTTGCCAGGCTCTGTCGTGTGGGCTAGGATAGACCTCCAGGTAGTTAGCCACGCTATCCTGGAGCGGAACAAGGGGCTTATTTTTGGAGGCGGCCCCGAATCGCCTCCCATGTACTTCCAGTCACTTGAATGCAAGCTTTTGGCTGTGCCGACATGCAGGATACCAACCGCACACACACAGAGCGCACCACACACGCAAGCATGCATGGACACCTGTATGGAGAAGCTGGTATGAATCGACACAGCACTACAGAAACAGGGAGTCCATCCCCTGAATCCACCTGCGTCTCAGGGCAAGTACATGGTGGCTTTTGGTCCGCGATTTACCCCCTATCCGCCACCTGGGGTCGCGCCACGTAGCCTCGCCACCAACCGGCTCGAGATCTTTCAGTGAGAGAGGACCCTCAGTGAAAGAGATCCGTGGAAGGATAAAGCATTTGCCGTTGATCAATCCCGTTTTGGGATGCGGCACGCATTCTACTTCCATTTGTACATTCGCAGTGGCATTTGAATGCGATGTGGCCTATACAATGACTTGCGGGGGCCAGCCGATGTTCAAGTCAGTGTTTTTATCCTCCCAGACAAGTCTGGTACCAATTAACCGACCCCGGAGGGATGGAAGGCTTGGTTGGCCCGGGCGACTCACGACCCAGGATTTGATCCCGGACCGCTCGCGTGGTGAGCGCGCCACTTGTCACTGCACCACTTCCGCCCCAAAAGAATATAATAGGCCACTTTTTTTGGCCAGTCACGTCTCTTGTGTTGTGTTGTGGTCTGCACCTCGACGTCTCTTTCTCGATTTTCCGAATAGAGGGGGTCTTACACCCGTCGGAAGTGGGATTATTCTAATAACGCAGTTACCACTCTTCTTTCTTTCTTCTTCTCCCTAGCGTTAGTCCCGCGCAGTCGCAGGGTCCGCTGTCTTTGTCAGTCGTCGCCACTTTCTCTGTCCAGGGCGTCCTCTGCTGTGGCCATGACTTCACTTAGATCCTTCTTGATCACGTCTCTCCACCTCTTCTTTGGGGCTCCTCGCGGTCGCTTGCCTTGCACTTCGAAGTCCATCGCTTTCTTTATCGGATGATCCTGTGGCCTCCTCAGCACGTGCCCATACCATCGGAGGCGCTGCTCTCGCATCTTCAGCTGGACAGGAGCAGTCTGCATGACCGCCCTGACATCCTCGTTCTGACCCTGTCCAGCCGCGTCCAGCCGCAGGCCCACCTCAGCATCCTCATCTCAGCGGAGTGAAGCTGCCTTTCGTGGTTCTTGTTCAGGGGCCAGCACTCGCTGCCGTAGAGCATCGCAGGCCTTACCACTGTCCGGTACACCTTCCCTTTGAGCGTTCTGGAGCACCTTCGATCGCAGAGGATTCCAGTGGACTCCCTCCATTTCATCCATGCAGCGTTGACTCGAGCCTTCACTGCCTGATCCACACTTCCGTCGGCTGCCAGATCGCTCCCGAAGGTATCGGAAGTCCTCCACTCTTTCGATGGTCTCACCATGGCCGTCCACGATCGGCTCTGCACCCTCTTCGGCTCAGGAACTTGGTCTTCTTGACATTCAGCCGGAGCCCACCTTCTGCCAGGACTTCTGCCATTTCTGCACCTTGGCTTGAAGTTCCTCTCTACTATCCGCTATCAGGGCGATGTCGTCAGCGTAGAGGATGTCTTTAGTGGTCCCTCCATGAGCCCCTTCACCAGGACATCTAGTGTTAGGAGGAAGAGGAACGGGCTCAGAGCTGATCCAACCGTGATGTCCACCTCCTTCGTTAGGCCGTGAGGGGTGCGTATGGCTGCTTTGGCTCCTTCGTACATGTCCTTCACCAGCGAGATCAGGTGTTCTGGCACGTTTCGTTCCCTGAGCGACCTCCATAGCACTGCTCGCGGTAGCCGGTCGAACGCCTTCTCCAGGTCGAGGAAGGCTAGGTAGCAGGCTTGCGCTTTTCGCGATACTTTTCCATCACTTGCCTGGCGATGAAGATGGCATCCGTTGTGGATCTTCCAGGCATGAACCCGAACTGCTTCCTGGGAGATCGGGACCAGCTCCCGCAGCTTCTTATCGACCAGCCGCTCGTACAACTTCATGGTATGCGCAGTCAACTTGATCCCGCGGTAGTTGGAGCAGTCCATCGCGTCGCCCTTCTGTTTGAAGATGGGGACGATGGTACTTGTCCTCCATGCATCCGGCATCTTTCCTTCCACTGTTACCTTGTTCAGGAAGCTGGTGAGCCACCTTATGCCGTACTCTCCGAGCGCCTTCCATGCCTCGATTGGCACCCCATCTGGGCCAACCGCCTTTCCAACCTTCATCCTCCCAAGTGCACACCTAACCTCATCCTCAGTCCAGAGTGCGATGGGACCAGCTGTGGCCTCTGCCCGTGAGTCGTTCTTGTGGGGGAACTCCTCGTTCAGAAGCCCCGTGAAGTACTCTTCCCACCTCCTCTTGACTTCGGCTGGCTTCCTTAGGATGACACCATCGCTGCCTTTTACACTTTTCACCACCCTGATGTCTTGAGTAGCACGATGGCGGGCCTTAGCCAGCCTGAAGACGAACTTCTCTGCGTTTCTGCTTTCCAACTTCTCGTACAAGGCGTCCATTTCCGTGTTCTTCGCCTTGGCGACAGCAGCCTTAGCGAGCCTCTTGCAACTCTTGTAGGTAGCGAGGTCTTCGGGGCTCCGGGTCTTCTGCCAGCGCTTGTATGCTTCCTTCTTCTGCTTCACGACTCGCTGGACCTCCTCGTTCCAGAACCACGCTGCCTTGTCTCCTCTGAATCCACCTCGCGTCTCGCCCAGGACCTCCTTGGCACATCGCAGGATGGTCTCAGCCGCGTTGCCCCAAGTCCGCTGTATTGGCCCGTTAGGATCTGGGAGACCGACTTCCATTATCTTTCGCCTGAGGTCATCCTTCTCCGCTTGGTGCAGCTTCCACCACCGGATTCTCCTCTCGGTTCTTACCCTTGTCTTCTTGGGGAGGTCTATTGCAATGTCTGCCAGGAGGGGCCTGTGCTGGGGAGCCAGATCTTCGCTTTGATATCCTTCACAGTTTTGAGGGATGATCTTCTTACCAGCACATGGTCGATTTCCGTCTGTCTCCCTCCACTGCTGTAGGTTACCTTTTGAGTCTCCCTTTTCGCGAAGAACGTGCTGCAGACTGCCAGTCGTGGGCTGTAGCCAGGTCCAGAACCCTCTCTCCCTCAGCGTTCCTCGTTCCTATCCCTCTACCTCCGTGCACCCTTTCCAGGCCTCTTCTGTCACTGCCGACGTGACCATTCAGATCACCTGCTATGGTCAGGTAATCACCTTCCGGAATCGTTCTGATGGCTTCGTCCAGGCTCAGATAGAACTCGTCCTTATCACTTTCGGGGCACCCGGCTTGCGGTGCGTACACGGAGAGTATGGTCCAGTACCCCTCCTTCGTGTCTATCCTCACAGCCATGATCCGATCGCTGATCCTGTTCACAGCGGAGACATAGTCCTTGAGCGACTCCGCTACCGCTATGGCCACGCCGTTCCGCTTGGTGTCTTCTCCATTGTAGTAGAGCTTGACACCTTCCCCGATTTCCCTGGCCTTAGCACCTTTCCATCGCGTCTCCTGAAGGCATAGGACTTGGATATTCCTGCGCGTCATCAGATCAGCAACCTCTCGGGACTTCCCAGTTAGCGATCCTA